AAATGCATTAGGAAGTCAATGAACTTAGTTCCCCACCTTTCTAGAGTCAAAGAGTTTGTGTACCCCTGAACCCCTTGTCACTCTTTTGCTATGCGGACATGAGATGAGTGGTTTTGCTGTGCCAAGCACCCCTGTCATGACTGATGCCTCAACACCACCCAGATCCATGTGGCAAATTAATTATGATTGTAACCTCTAATACTGTGAGCTGAAAGAAACCTTTCCTCTGTACAAAGTCATTCTCCAAAGTTAATTATAGTAATGAAAAGTTGACTAACATGACAGGTAAAATGCTGAGCTCAGCATAAACCAGAGCTATGGCCCCAAGTAAGTTGTCACTGTGATTCTTCACTACTCTGCACTCTCATGGGGGAAAAAGCCAATTTCCTTGATGGCACAATACAATTCATTACTTTTATTAGAACTCAGCTTCTGAGAATATATCTTTTTAACATTTTGTGTGACAGTAGAAAGTACACCTACAAGGTTTCTATTAAATGGCAACCTGCCGTAGTTACTTTGGTAAAGAAAATTTACATGATTAAGTTGTGAATTGGACTCAGTGTTTTTTAGTGAACACCATTTCTCTTGGAAAGCCTGACAGAGAAACTGTTTATTCATGCCTTCATATTTGCTAGACATTTTCTTGAAACAAGTGTGCCAAGAAAAACAATTTACAGTATTTGTCGCCAATGATAAAATTCAGTCTACAGCAAAAATTCAGAATGTTGGAAATCTCATATCTTCCATCTTGAGATTGATAGTTTCCCTATACTTGAAGACTTATTCTAATGAACTTGTGGGTGGTATTTAAGAACTATAAGTTTACTATCCTAAAAATAGTACCTACCAATATTCACTGTTTGTGTATACGTCAGTGAATCAGTATTTGCCAAATAACTATTCTAATTGCAGGCCAGAACAATAAATTGTTATGTAACATAAATTATTAATTGATATGATTTTAGATTCTATTTCATAACTTAGAGTAGGATCAATGAATAATATCCACCAATATAATAAAATCTACAACATATTAAAATGCTGTTTACTCTTTTAACTACCTATGTGAAGCTGGTTTCTCTATATGGGGAAGACCTCAACCAGAGATTCATCAACAACAACAACAACAACAATAATAATAATAATAATAGTAATAATAAAATAAAGTAAAAACAAGTGGCAGTATGTACTATAAAAGAAGTGTAGTTGGAACCTGGCCTTTGGTCAGAAAATAATTCCGGAGTGAAATGATGATTTTTTTCATGTGCTAAATAAGGACCTTCTACATGGAGGAAGCCACTGGGGAAGGGCAGATAGTGGGAGGAAAAGTGCTACCATGCAAAGTGACCACAAACTTGAAAAAGTGTAGGAAGGCTGCATGTTGGGGACCATGCAGAGCCGTGTCTCTGTCTTTGCAAGATATTAGGAGATACCTCATTTTTCTTCTATGGCTATGCCATGACTTCTCTAAACCTACCCGTTATCTTCCTTGTACCTCAAGTAATTTTAATTTTAACTTTATATTCTCTCTTGTTCATCCACCATCCTCAGGAACCTTCTCTCTCGTTTTCTTTCATTGGCTCATTGTTTAGTCCCTTTACTTTGCTTCTCACCCATTGCTTGAATTCCACACATCTTGGTTCTTCAAAACTGTTTTCACTCTTAAGACCTCATCCAAGCTCTGAGTCTCAGTTCTGGGAGTTGATCTCACTTCCAAATTGATTCACAAAGTCAAGATCATTAATACAAAAGATCTTTCTAATATTTTGATATCAAAATTCTTCATCTTTGTGCTTCTCTTTATCCTTGCTCCCATCATGGAGGACAAAGTTACCTTTTCCTAAAATACTTGTGAACGAGCTATTAACTACATGTGATGGTGCACTCCTCTAATCTCAGCACTGGGAGGTAATAACCTTACATGTTCATTCTCAGCTGAGGTCAAACCTGACTGCATTCTGCTTTTTGGCTCAACTGTCATGTGATAAACAAGTGTTCTTTGTGCAGCCTATTTGATGGCACATTTTTGTGCTTTTTGTTAGTGATTTTGCCCACTGAGATAATGCCCAAGAATAGCGCTGAAGTGTTGTCTTGTGCTCTTAAGGAAAAGAATGCTGTGAGGTGCCTTGGGGGACATGAATTGCACTACTGTTGACCATTAACTTCATCATTAATGTGGAGATGTCACCCTGCAGTGCATTAATTTGCACAGTTAATATGTGTTATATTAATATATGATTAACAACATTGGCTAGCAGATTATATTTTAAAGGTTTCTTTTAATCATAAACATGTTACATGGTCATTGCTTGATAAAAATGTGACTGCTAAGGCTCACAGTCATCCCAGATTTCCCTTAGAAACATGTTGGCTAATTCATAGCTGCCATGGTGTGGGTTTGGTCTCAGTGGGTCCCCCAGAGGCTCATGTATTGGAAGCTTATGACAGTGTGGGAGATGATGGAACATTTAACAGGTGGAGTGTCCCCAGATCATTGAGGGAACACTTCACAAGGGATTAAGGTGGCTCTCACAGGAATCCTGAATGCTCACAGGGTCTCTAAGCTTTCTTCATAGCAAGTTGTTATAAAAGTAAGGCTACCCCTGAATTGCTCTTTGGATACTTAATCTCTGGTGATCATGTACATTCCCACTATCTGCTATGGGATTCTCTTCAGAGTCTATACCTGGCTTTTGGACTTAAAGCCTCCAGAGCTATAAGCTAAATAAGCCTCTCTTCTTTGTGAAGCCATCCTGTTTCAGTTACTTAATTATACTAAAAAAAAATACAGATAAGTGTTTAGTGTAAAAAATAGGAATTAACTCTCAGTGTGTGTTAGAGTGAGAGTGACAGAGATTACTGAAGAGGAATCAGCTAAGCTCCACAAAGAAAAACAAAAAAGCAGAGAAGGAGCAGCATTATAAATATGGGAATAAAGAAAGAGCTTCTGGAACATGAATAAAGAGACCGTCCCTTCTGCTAACCATAAAGTGTACTGCCAGTTGAGGGCAGCTTTGTTTTTTTCTGGCAGTGGCAAAAAAAAGCCTATTTTGCGATAGTACAGAAATGACCTAGTTTGTTGTAGAACACAGCACATGAAGAACTATTCAATCACTAATTCCTATGTGTGCAAAAGTCAAAGAAGTGACTGTAGAACTACCACAAAGTCACTTTGTTCAAGAAACCTGTGCGACAATTTTATACTTTCTTATGCCCCTGAACTTTTCTCTAGAAGAACTATTAATAGTTTAGTTAATCATATCAACTGGAAACCTGCCTTTGGAAATAAAATTGTATTATTGGAATTATTATTCTAATTTACCTTGGCCATCGTTTTGCTGTTGTAGCCTGCCTCTTGAAGTTTGTGTTAGTTCATTAGTTTAATACCTAGGGTAATTTACTAGGTCCATGGAGGTTCTAATCTTTCAGCCCCCACACCATCACCCAGGCAGATTGAGTTTATGTCAAGGTATCAGGAACAAGGTATTTTGTTTAAGAAACAAAATAAAACCAACAAATATGTAAGCTAACTAGACTGTAGTAAGCTAGATTTCATTGTTTCTGATAATATTAAAAGTATAGAATATGGTGAATTTGGAGGTAGTAGATAACCAACTGTTCTAGCAGAAACTAATTTTTAAAAACTTTGTGTTTTATTTAGGGGTTAACCAGGATGTCTTACAGCGACCTTTGGCTTGCTATTATTCTTAGTTTTAATATTCTTTTATACTATCACTCCGGTCTCTAGCTTGCTAGTAAGATGGATCTTGTCATTTTTAAAAGGCCGTTTTGTTAGTGTGGTTTGAAATGAGACTTTGATGGTGTCTGTGGGCTGATTGTTTCGGTAACTTAGAAGTAATTGAGGTGATACTTGCTCTTCAAATTTTGGGCGCAGGACCTCAGTAAACTGGTGGGAAGTAATACTGCTGAAATTCTAGAAAACATTTCTTAGTTTTTGGAGTGCTAAAACTCCAAATACAATATTTACAATAAAATTCACCTTCTTGGGTCCTTTTGATGCATCTCATTGCAATGGCAAAATGTATCAAACTGTCAGAGATCAACTCTTTTCTTTGGCTAAGTACTACCAGTTTAAGAAGAAAAGATTCATTTGCAGTGCCAAGTGTTCCTTAATCCTGTCAGCTGAAACCCTGCATTTCAGTATAACCAGTAAATATAAAACAGAATGCTGCTTTGTAAATGATGCCTATCAATTCTCAAGAAATCCATATTCATATTCTTTAATGCATTTAGCACTCTTTCACAATATCTTTGTGAGTTGCAAAATAAAGCCAAATACAAATGAAAATACTCTTAAGGCCTTTGGAAAAAGGAATAGATTTGTGTTTATTGAAGTTCATAAAAGCTTCTATATTAAAAATGCACAGAATCTTCTCTCATAAAGAAACAAATTTAGAATGATAGATTTTTAGTTCACAGCTATAAAGGGTGAAAGAAAATAAGCTTGGAGCTATTTTTATATTAAAAAGCAAGTTCAGCAAAATGATCAAAACCTTTTAGTTTTGTTCCATGTCTTAACAATTTAATTGTGCTTTTCTTTCTCCAATATATGAAACATGCAGAACACAATGTCTGTACTACTTAAATAAGTTTTAAAAGGTTTAGAATCAAATTTAATTTGATTGATTTCTGTAGAAGAAATATCATATTAAAAATAAAATTGTTGCTTTCTAAGGAGTGTTATAAACAGCCAAAATAAGAAGAAAGGAAAACTATTGTCTTAAAACATACTGGAATAAATAAACATTTTACAGATCACTAATAGTCAATAACATTATTTGGGAGATTTAGGGATGATCTGGTTTGTATTAAACATATTTACACTTTAAAATGTTTCATGAATTAAGTCAAGCTTTACTACAAACAACTGCTAAGGCATATGAAAATATAGAAAGTTTTACTGTATTAGAATCATTATTTTCTAAGGGATGTAGCTGATCAGACTCTGAAACATTGCTTGGGTTTTGTTTTCCCAGAGAGCACAGTCAGATGAACTGGAAAAAATTGAAAAGCATGGACGATCTTCCAAAGACAAGGAAAATGCCAAGTCCCTGGATAAACCTGAGCAGTAAGCAGGCCTGCTGAGGGCCCTGCAGTGGGTGCCTGGGCTGGGTGGGCTCTTTCCATTTAGGGAAAAAACCATGTCTTGAGTGCATAATTGTTATTAATGAGACGAGGATAAACATATGTTTCTATGAATTATATTTTTCCTCTTAACTTGGCTTTATTTCCTTAGGTTCCTTTATGAACTATCACTAATCCCCAACTTTTCAGAGCGAGTCTTTTGCATCCTGTTCCAATCCACGTTTTCAGAAAGCATTTGCTCCATTCGTCGCAAACTGGAATTGCTACAGAAATTGTGTGAGGTGGGTTCCAGTACTAGGAGAACTGAAGTTGAGTTCTGATATTTAATTTTGTTTAGTCATATGCATATATCAAAAAGTATGAGTATTTATTTACTCTGAATACTCATTAACTGTGATGGGAAGCAGTCTCATAAAAGGGACTATTTTATGTTTGAACTGCAAGATCAAAATGCATGTTCAGACTGACCTGCAAGGCTACAGGACTATTGTGAGTGTGTGGCAATGTGTTTGGCCTATGGAAAGTCACTTTCTTCTGCCTTTGCCAAACCAAAATGTTCACTCTACATAGTTCTCACAGACATCAGACTTCTAAATGAATGGAATCTGAAGGCATGATATTTACTGCCTTTCATTATTTTGGATTGCCCTGAACAAATTGTTAATAGTTATTCCAGCCAAATGATTTAGGAATGGTTATATGACTCAACAAAAGATAAATATTCCTTTAGAAAAAAAAAAGATGAAATGTTTGGCAGAAATGACCAGTATTAACATTTAAAACAACTTGTCAAAAATGAATAGGACCATTTGTTCTGATTGTGTTGAATTACTCTGAAAAGTGGAAAGATATTGTCAAAGACATTTTCAAAGAAAACCATGTGCAAATTGAAGGTAAACTTAGTGTTCTCCAAGAAATGAGTATGAACTTCGTGGGGGTATATCTAAATTTAGAAATTAATCTTTATAACTGTTTTTTGATTTTCTACAACTTATACCACATATTCTTATTATTCTTTTCGTCTAACTAAGATGATGTTGATGGTACTGTTTCATAGTAGTTTATATGTTGTAGCCTTATTTGTTTACCTTGAAATTATATGGTAAGAATGGCCTACATTGGAATCTCTCAACGTACAAAGCATATCTTAATGCATCATAGTGGCACATCTTTTTAAAATTTCTTTGGAAGCACTATGCCTGAAATTAACTTAATAAGAGGAAAGGGCAGAGTCTATAAATAGCATAATATAAAGACCTGGCATTGGTCTTGGATGATTGAAGTACAACTTTGTGTAAGAGAAAACTTGTTCTTTATCCTGTGTTACAGACATTAAAAAATGGCCCAGGGGTTATGCAGGTTCTGGGTTTGGTTCTTGCATTTGGCAACTACATGAATGGTGGAAATAAAACTCGGGGACAGGCGGATGGCTTTGGTTTAGACATTCTCCCCAAGCTGAAAGATGTCAAAAGCAGTGTAAGTATTTTGTATTAATGGATGAAGGCAAATTAAAGATATTTTGTTTAGGAATAAGCCAGTTATAATAAATACTTCTCTTTGCTCCAAGATAAAAAATTTATGTTGTCGACTAGAGAAAAGTACACTATTGGGTATCTAAAGTTTAAGTGAAAAATAATATTGCCTAAAGTGAATAATTTTGAAATTGTAATATTTTAAAACAAAAATAAATATTTTTTCAGTATATTTTCAGCAATTGCTAATATTTATCTTTCTGGAATCTAAGCACTAGTCAATCTCAATGAATTAGGCAGTCTACCTGATACTATTTTTCTATTTAGGCAACAGAGACTAACAGCCCCACATTTTGAAAACGAAACAAAAGATGAATGAAAATAGTTTGTAAATAACAATATAAAATGATTTCCAGCTTTTCTTCATATCATTTTTTCCCTCACACTGGTTTGCATGGGAATGTCTAAGCCCCTTTTTAAGTCCTAGTGATTTTTTGTTCTACTCTTAGAGTTGTGTTTGTTTAAAATTAATATCTAAGAGATTATAAGAGTGTCAATGGAAATATAAGGTTTGAGATGATGGTTAGAGTCACAGACAAAAGTCTGGGCTGGTAAACTGAGAAAATAAAAAAAGCTCTGTTTCTCTGATAAGAGAATCACCACACAGAACATTATGATGAAGGAAATTATGATCGCACATTTAAAATACTAAACTTAAGTAAATAATTGGCTTGTAGAAATGAAAATATGTAGGATTATCTGACATGGGTAATGCAGCAACCTTCCTTGTAAAAGGAAAATACTTTATTTTTGTCTCTTCTGTCAGTCAAAATCTTGTTCATTCATTTATTCGTATGCATATATGTGTACATTTGACAGTCTTGCATTGAGCATCCATGAAATGCTAGAACTGCTTTTCCAAAGTTGAATAACACATAGTTCTTACTTGGCACACAAACAACATATTTTTTGTGATTTTTATGGTTATTAAAATAAGAATATATATTTCAAATGAGCTTGTATTTCATTATAAGCATTTTCATAGGAATAAACCTCTAATATTTGGAACAAATAAATACCATTTGTTAAAAAAGCAAATCTGGATTTTGTCTTAGTTCATTGAAAAGGCAGTTGTGTGCTATTGTGTGCTTTTCCTTTGCAAGAGAGAAACTTTTTTTGTCTCTGAGTAACTACTTCAATGACAATGCTCTACAGTGTATTAACTATTATTCTCTTAGTATTTTGTTATGAAGTTTTGTTTTTCATAAAATAAAAATCTATTTTTAAAATATTTGATATTTTAAAAATATTTCTCAATAATTGACTGAAGTGGAACAATTTTTGTAAAGCGACATTGGAATATTTGTAACTGCATCAAAAAATGTTCAACTTATAAAAATGGGTCTGAAATATATTCTGGTAATCTTAATTCTAAATGAACAAGAGATTGTTTGTGTGTTTTGTGCTGTCTTGCTTTTATACATTCTTCTATTAAATTTTACTGATTTAAATAATTCTAGAGTAATCTAGGAAAAAATTAAATATTGAATCAACAAATAAGATTTATAATTTTTCTTGCTATCTCAGAACTATGCAGTCTTACTGAATTGATTTCTTTCTTTGTAGAACAAATGTAATTCTGTCTATTCAGGAATATTTGTAGACTTTCAAGGACAGAGCCATTACTTAGATTGCTCAAAATTTTATCTCAGCTTCCCTATAAGCTGACTTTTAACAAATGTTTTGTTAATTGATTCATGTACTGTTAACTTGCTTTTACAAGCAAGTTCTGACTAATGAGGGAAGTCACTAATGAATACATTACTAATGCATTTCAAACTGAATTATGAAATGGTGTTAACTCTTTTTACAGATAGAGAGAAAACCATGGCTAGGTCTGTAAATAGAAAACTGAGACCAATTAAATTTAATATAATTTACTTAAGCAAAAAAAAAAAAAAGTTCTAGAACCAGGCAGCATTTCAAACCAAAGATGATTCATAATATCCTACCTCATTATACTTTGCAAGTTATATTTATGGCCCAAGCAAAGGAAGTGACATGCAGAAACAACTTGATTGGCTACAGTTGGCATTTGCCTCATATTATCAGTTTTGGCAGCTTTCTGTCTCTGATTGGCTAGAGGTTCAACTATCATGATTGGCTAGGACTCATTTGCTTGGTGTAAGAAGCTATGCTTTTACCCTGACACTAAGGGTAAGAGGTTGCAGTTTGTGTACTTGGCAAGTTGGTTTCAGTTTAATATGTAGGGATGCCACTATGGAGCAACTTATTACCCATGTATGGGGATGGGTTTAGGCCACACTTACTGCAGTTTAACAAATCAAAATTTCAGAAACTTCAGTTTGTATCATAGGATTTGTTTTCAAATTGTGTGTGTGTGTGTGTGTGTGTGTGTGTGTGTGTGTGTGTGTGTTGCATGTGCATGTATATGTATGTGTGTTTATGTTCAGTCTCTCAAAATTAAATTATCTATAGCTAACTTGGAGCAAAGCAAAAAAGTTAATTAAAATTAATGCCTTTAGGGCCAGGGATGTGGCCCAGTGGTAAAGTGCTTGCCTCACATACTCAGGGTTCTCTGTTAGATATCAGCACTGCAAAACAAAACAAAATAAAACTGTAGATTTGTCTAGCATGTTCTAGGCCCTGGACTCCATTCTCAGTTATGTAAGAAATATAAAAGAAAAAGAACTGTACAGGAAGGAAGTAAAAATTCAATCTTTAAAGTCTGTTAGATGTGAAATAATTTTATATTTTTAAAACATAGAAATAAATAAGGTTTCTTATTTACAGTCACATGGGTCTTTCTCAATCTCAGTTGATGGTATAACAAATTATATTATGTATTGGTGTTTTAAAAGTTACCACTTACCTGAAATACTACTCAGTTTCCTTAGTCTAAATGCTCATGAGCCTCAAAGTTGAGTTGGACCTCTCAGTCTAGGCATAATACTAGTGATACTTATTTCATTTAATATAGTAATTATAAAACATAGAAGTAATAAATAAAAGTTCATAAGAAAAACATTAAAAAATTTATAAAGTGAATTAAACTTCTGACTAAAGAAGGTAAAAATAGGGAAGTGCAGTGGTCATGAGCCGTATACAGCTCTGCTCTCCTCTGAACTTTAGATGGGAACAAAGGAGGAAAATCTATGCTATTAAACTCTTAGGATGAAGCAACTTGGGCAGGCATGTGTGGTGGTGCACACCTGTGATCCCAGTACTCTGGGAGACAGAATCTCAAGTTGCATCTGAGCCTAGGCAACATAGCTATAGACCTTGTCTTTTAAAAGAATAGTACTGAGGATGTAGCTCAGAATGAAGGCCCTGGATCCAAGGGTCATTGCTGCTTCCCTGCAAAAAATGACTGTGACAATTCAAAATGTAAAAGTTCACATGTCATTCTAAATGCTCTTGTGTGCGTGTGTGTGTGTGTGTGTGTGTGTGTGTGTGTGTGTGTGTATTCAGTGGAATTTCTTTTAATAATGCATGTTTAATAATTTTTAAAATATGTTGTGACTTACTTTGATCTTTCTGCCTAGGACAATAGCAGAAGCCTTTTGTCATATATTGTTTCATATTATCTTCGAAATTTTGATGAGGTAAGACCATGTTTACAGCATTTTGTTGTGTCGTTCATTTTGGGGGTGATTTGGTAATGTTTTCTCTGCTATTGTTACCTGCCTTTGTTTTCAGCATGACTGCTGCTATGTGATTTGTAGTTGTATTAACACTGACTGGTTTTAAAATTATGCTTTCTAATTAGGATGCTGGAAAAGAACAGTGTGTCTTTCCACTACCTGAGCCACAGGACCTTTTTCAGGCCTCGCAGATGAAGTTTGAAGATTTTCAAAAAGATCTCCGAAAACTAAAGAAAGATTTGAAAGGTAATTTATAATCTTGAACTTTCATTTTTAAATCATTGACATTTTTCTTGTATATTCAGTGTGTTGTTATATGGTCAATGTAGTTCACATTAGGATTTTAATTTATAGTCTTTTCATGAAAGATAGAAGCCTTTGCAATGTTTTTGAAAGAAGTAAATTAGTCTTTTACAACATTGTGGGACTAAATTTCTTATGACAAAAGAAAAATTTTGTGAATGATCGTATTTTTTGACATTGAAAAAATTGTATATTGGAAGTTTAATTATTGAATAATATTTCGTTCATTTGAATAAGCATATTTCATCAGGATCCAATTTTCATCTTGTTTTTATTTGATAGCCAAGAAACTTGTCCATTTATCATTTTATGCTGGGCACAAATAATGTCACTGTTAAAAGATAAATGGTCCCTGCCCATTTTCCTTTGGCATATTTGCCCAAGATTTTGTGACTTGTGAGCTTTCCTGAAAACATAGTATCTTCTTATACATATATGATAAAAAAAACCCACATGTGTTTATGTTGTTTTGCTGTCATTTAAGCCTTAAGCCAAATCATTTTGAGAATAGTCTGAAATTCCTCAAATTTCTAAATTGAACTTTTGCATGGAAGCAAATAGTTCACAAAATTTAATTTTCTTGAACAAAATACTTTTCATCCCCTTTCATGATGTTTATTATTTTGGGGGGTTGTTGAGAATACCCCAGCTCTTCAAACCTTTTCTAACTCTTATTAGTACAGTCAAATAGTGAATACAGTGAGATTTTCATTTAGTGTTGTCTTGCCAGATGAGGCCTGGTTACCTCTGTTCAGAAGCCAAGAAGGACCTATTTTAATTTAAAACACTCAATCCCAATAGTGAGATGTGTTTATATCCAAAGATGCTGATCTGTAGTGATCATGGAGTTGTGTTTTGGTCACACTTGCTTTTATGTGTATTTTAATTAGTGTAACACCGTTACATTTCCTTGCAGTTCTTATATGGTCAGTGTAATTCATGTCAGGCATGTGCTAGATGCTGAGTTACCAGGAGACTGAAATTCTAGGAGACTGGAATTCTGCGACATAGATGTGCTTTCTTCAAGCCTTACACATAGGTGTCTTTGGACACCAAGAAAGACTACTTTCAATAATACTAACATAAAGCTATGTTACGTTTGTATAATATTACAATGATTCCTATTTAAGTTAAAAGTGGATTCTTAAACTAATAGGAAATAGACCTTTTCGTGCAGGGATGCAGTTCATGCAAAGCACTTTTCTAGCATGTATGAAGCCATAGTTGGAGCTCAGCACTGAGGGAGGAAAAAACAACAAACTTCTTCACTGTAGAGATTGTCATACTTTAAATTTACATCAGATATTTGGGCGTGCTGATAACATTTTACACACACGTGTACACACACACACATACATACTCACTCACCCTCATCTGGTGCTAAAGGCATTTCTGTGGGATTTGAAAAATGCTTTATACTTTGATCAACAGATCAGCTTTCCAAACTGGGGTTTTATAGTTTACAGATGATTCGATAAGTGAGAGGAATGAAAATCTTATTACCAGGGACATCATAGTTGCTTCATTTGGTGCATCGCTTTGGAATATTACCTGTTATCTTTTAGCAGCCACAGGCCTGCTTTCTACAGGTATTAAAATCTACCTGTAGCCATGAAAATGGTAATTTATCATAAGACTTGGAGCTTAATACAAAGAGCTGATACTATGTAATCTGCTTAAGCAGGATAAATAACCGCTGCCTCTGAACGCTGTTGCTGTGTGTTTTCTCCTTGGCCATTGTGGTAGCTACAGAAGACTATCAAAGGACATCTTAGACATGTCTGAATGCCTCAGAAGGTTGTGGAGAAGATTGTCAGCATCAGAGTTCTACATTTATGCAGAAAAATGATGAACTAATTGAAAACCCCATATTCTGGGTTAGCAAGTATAAAATTTTCCTAGTACAGCAGCTTCCCGGGTTTGCCAGTAGGTTGTAACAACTCCATGCCCTAGAAATGGGCAGGTTCATGACCATGAATACAGGAACTGCTGGGCTGGGTTAAATTTGAAAGGAATGTGCGGTGTTGTCCAAAGAAGGGTTTGCAGCAGTTCTCCAATTTATTTGACCACAGAGCACTTTTTTCACAGAATGAGTGGTGGGTTCTGCGGGCAATGGAACAGACTGGAACTAATTTGGGGAAATGTAAGATTGGTAGTATTAGCAGCGAAAGCAGGCACTTGCTCCGAGGAGTTTACAGTGAAGGTGAGGAAATGAAGTGATAGTTCATGAAATAATGAAATTGTATATTACTGTTCTAATAAAAAGGGTGGTGCAGAGAGATTTACAGGCTGTAAAATTCTGAGGATTAAAGACAACAAAAATTATAACTTGTCTCTGTCTCTCTCTCTCTTCTAAATTTTCAGTCTTTCCATAGAAAATAAAATGCGATGGGGTGAAAAAGGAAGTCTTAGCACTTAAAATTTAAATCTAATGGCTGGGAACTAAAATTTAATAAATGTAGCATTTCATACCCATGCATAAAGACAAGTAGTCTCATCTTTTTAGGAATAAGATGGATAAAAATAGACATATAACTGGTCTGGATGGCCAATTGTTTTTAGATACAGTAATAGTATCTTTAAAATGTCTGCTTTGAGTAAGGTAGCCTATTTAAATGATTTCTTTTAAGTGATCAAGTGAGAATATTCAATTAAAAAGAATCAGCCTGTCCCCATATTTTTCCTCCTAGAGGCATATTGTTTTTAAATAGGCTTAGGTGTGAAAAATTTGTCCAAATATTTTTACTACAGCAAATAGTTGAAATCATCTATTAACAATTAGATAAAATCTAGAGTGATGAGTTTCACAAAGACAGAAAGTTGTAAGTATGAAGACACTCATCTACTGGCTCACCATCTTCTGTTTGTTTCTACTTAGAGACTTAAATTTTATTTCTAAGGAAAGGCTGGGAAATAATATGTCATTTTTTGGACATCTTAATAAGACAACTGTATGTCTAGAGCTTTAGCATTTTATGGAAACATCCACTGTGTTTGGTTTTCTCTGCTTATCCCTAAGATTTCCGTAGCTCCCTCCTTGTGGTACTGTCCCGGTTTCTGCAGCTCAGTGACATGTAGTGTGTTAAGCAACCTGACCTGCTTTTGCTCTCTTCTGGCTGGCAGCGACTTTCCTTGATGTAGTCCTGCCAAATGATGATTTCTGTTCCAACGCCTTCCTTGGGTAGGAATTGTAGTGCTCACTCACCACAGGACTTAAATCAGCTCTGCTTGCAACAGAGCCTTGAGCAGTTAAGTTATCAGAACCGAGCCAGAACCTTCACATGCAAATTCTTCTTTGCATCCTCTGTCCCAATGCATGCTTGGTCACTGCTTCCTACACTTGACTTGAAAATTCATTTAAAATTCATTAACTGTATCTTCAGGATGAAGCAATGTCTATCTCCAGAGATAGATAAGAAAAACCAGTCTTTCAACTGATATATGTATTGAATATTAACTCAACAATTGTTGGTTTGTTAGTATTACATTGAAGTTGTATATTTAACACATGTTCTTTTTTCTTTATATTTGAGGAAAGAAAAATAATGTACTTTTTAGAAAATATCCATCTGTCTTGTACATGTTAAGCATATGGTTTAATCCTGCATTATACCCCAATCCCTTAAAAATAACTTTTTCTCATTATTTTTAGATTAGTATCAGTTTTGCATAGGCACTTTAGATGATACTGAAAGACTTAAAGAAGAGAATATATTTATCTCTATTTCTAAAATCCAGTGATAAATGATTTTTTTATGTTTCTATCTAATGTGTGTATACTGAATATATGTGAATTATACTTTCAGGACAGTGGTACAGGGCTGGAGGTTTAGCTCAGCAGCATAAGCACCTGCCTTGCAAGCAGGCGGTCATGAGTTCAATCCCCGGTACCGATAAAAATGAAAAAGGACAGTGGTACAATTTTTAAATAATTTTTGTCTATTCACTACTTTATAGCTTTCCACTATTCTTGTTTACCTTTGGCTTTCTACTGATGTGTATAGTACAAAAACATTCTTTTCATATTTTTCTATTTTACTGGGAACTTAGAAATTTCAGTTTAATGACCGATTTCTTCAGTGTTTCAACACTTCTCAACCACTGCCTTTAAAACTATTTTTTAATCATATTTCTTCTCGTTTCCCAAAACTCCTTTTAAATGTGTTTTGTAGTCACTTGATCTAGACCCCATCTGTCTTTTCTGTCAGAGCTTTCAAATCTGCCCTATAATCTTCATGCATTCTTCAATATTATTTTCCAGTTTATTGATTTTTCTTTATTTTATCCAAGCTGTGTTTACATTATCAATGTAGTTACCTTGGCATCATAGTTATTTTTGTTTCTAGATTTATAATATATTTTATCATATTTAATTTTGTTTCTATAAGTTTCTTATTATTATTTTGGATATTATCTTTTGTGTCATTGATACTTTTCAGTTTTTGTTTCATCTGAAATGAATTTATCTTCCACTTTTTTGTTTTTAAGCTGTCTTCTCATTTAATTTAGTTTGGTAGCTGATTTTTAATATGTGTTACAAAGTTATGACCTGTAATTTAAATCCAGCCTTCTTCCCTTTTTGATGACACTGGAGATTGAACTCAGGGGCACTATATTACTGAGCTACATCCCTTACCCTTTTATTTAGTTATTTTTTGAGGTAGGATCTCACTAAGTTGCTTATATTGGTCTTAATCTTGGATCCTCCTGCATCAGCCTCCCTGGATTCAGATTTATTGTAGATAGAATTCAAGTGGCTCACAGTCGTGCCCAATCATGTACATATTATCTATGACTGCTTTTTCGTGTTGAGGCATGGTGACAGACTATAATTCTATTATTCCTGCACACACCCTTTCTCATCTCTAACCTTCAAATCTTTCACTGTTGATTCTTTTCACCTGCTTTTATCTGGTCTGCCTTTCATAGCCAGAACTAAAACT